GTTTCGGGATCTTCGTCTCCCGTGATTCCGGTAATGATTTTTTTCACGGTCTGTTCCGTGGCTGTGACTGGCATCTAATGGATGCAGATTTTTGTTTTGACTTTGTCTAGATGTTCTAGAAGAACATCTACGCCTTCTACTGTTTTCCGCACATTGTGCAGGAGGTCGTAGTGAGTCCTGTGAGCTGCTTCCGTGAGGGTGAGGTACCACTCGGTGGTCTTCGAGGAGCGGTACAGCGCCGCTATTCCGTGGATAGGCACTCCGACTGGGCCTATCAGGACGCTGGTCAGCCAGGCGGTCGCCGCCCTGGAGGCTGCATCGGCACCGGACAAAGACATAATGATTGTATTACCTGTCCGGTGTATCCTTCCTCCAGGGAACGCGTCCGTCGGCACGTCCAGGTCCAGGTTTGTGACGGCTGCTGCAGGCTGCATCTCAGGTGGCAGTGGTAGAGGTTTGCTTCTCAGGTGTCCGGGGCTTGCTCCGTCGTCGGTGTTGGTTATGTGCGAGGTGGTGGGGTGTGGTTACGAGACTCGTTGATCGCCTCAAAGGTAGCTCGTCCTGAAAAGGACACCGCTCTGATAAGAACAGATACTACACTTTGATCTTAGCCAAAAGGCCGAGAAGCGACTTAAAAGTTTATAAAATAAAAAAAAAATAAAAATTAAAAAAAACTCACGAACGCCAAAACAAAGAAAGGAAGAGCAGATGAAATATAAAAAACACAGAAAGATATAACCTTTTCTGCGCATACTATATAAACAACAGGAACAGAAAAATCAATTAAAATCGAAGCTAAGACAAATTTTGAAACAAACATCTGCTCTGAAAGGCAGTAGAGCTAGCATTTGAAATGTGGCTACTATAAAAACGCGGCTCCAGGTTTTACATTTAATGAACCTTCAAATTTAACCAACGCTTGTGGTTTGAGGTTTGAACAACGGATCAACATCTTGGCACAAGGGTAGTAACCCATAAGTGCTACGTTCTAGTTCTGACTCAAGCCTGAGTTCATCGAATCTCAGCGCAGTACACGAGCTCTGTAGCACCGGCGAGGACCATGAAATATTTTGGGATAGATTTTAAACTATAAACTTTGTCTAGGCAGCGCCGTTATTCTACTTTTTTCGATTTCCAACTGCTGAAGGATTTTTTTACGTGCGCGTAACAAAAGAGCGTCCGATCTCACTACCCAGAGACCAGCGGAAATTACTAGTAGTGGACGTGAAGAAATCCAAGCCTTCACCAGGACTTGAACCTGGAACTCCAGCAATCTAGGCGAACCTTATGCCTCGCCCATATATATATATATATTGATGCCATATTTGCACTAAGACAAGTCTGTGAAAAGACACTCGAATACGATAAAGAGCTGAACGTGGTCTTTGTAGATCAAGAGAAGGCATTCGACCGTGTAGACAGAGATGTGCTGTGGAGAATTCTTGACGATTACGGAGTGCAGGGTCAATTATTAGACAACATCAGAGCCCTCTATGAAAAAAGTGAAAGTGCAGTAAGAACATCTAGTGGTCTTTCTGAATGGTTCAAAGTCACAACTGGTGTCAGGCAAGGATGTGTACTGTCACCATTACTTTTCATAACATACATGGATAAGATCACTGTAGACGCAAACCCAGACGTGTATGCTATAAACGAATTACTTTTTGCTGATGATCAAAGCATACTGTATCAAAATGAATATGATCTACAGGAACATCTGACTACTCTCAACAACAGCTGTTTACAACATAATATGAGAATCAGTACAGAAAAAACAGAAGTTATGAAGATCAGCAGAACACACAGGCCACTGAATATAAATGTTGGAAGTGCCAAAATCAAGCAAACCAAAGAGTTCAAATACTTGGGCAGTATATTTACAGAGGATGGAAGAATGGACAGAGAGATAGAAACAAGAATACAGAAAGCAAATGCTGTCACATACCAACTATCACCTCTGCTTAAACATCCAGATATAACCATGAAGACCAAAAGACAATTGATAAACACCATCTTCATTCCAACACTCTGCTACCAGTGCCAGACATGGACAATCAACAAGACCCATGAAAGAAAAATAGAAGTCTGTGAAATGAAATGTCTAAGAAAAGCAGCGAATAAGACCAGACTAGACAGGATAAAGAATATAGACATTAGAAACACTGTCAAAACTACACCATGTTTAGACTACATAGAACATCAAAGAATGAAATGGTTTGGACATCTAACCAGGATGAAAAATGATCAAATAACATCACAAATTTTCAACCAAAGAAGCTCAGGATATAAGGCAAGAGGAAGACCAAGGAAACTGTGGATTGACGGGGTCTCCGAAACCTGCCAAAAGCATGGCCTCAGAACATCAGATGCTGCCCGCCTTGCTTATGACAGGAACTTGCATCTCCCCACAACGCTTAGCGGCATACGTGGAAGGAAAAAGTAAAGTACTATTATACTTGCAATGTCATAAGATGCTTTCCATTTTTTTGGATGACATGGCCATTGGTAGAAGAAATAAAATCTATCACAGATAGAACTAGGTCTATATCCTATCTATTTTCTGTCCTCAAGTAGTTTCTGAACAGTCTGAATCACTTGATATCAGTGGTGGGTTTTGGTTTTATATTCCACATTTATTCTAGTAGATTAACATAAATTACAAAAGGCTTGGTTTATCGACGTCACGATCCATTTAGGAAGACAACAAATAATATAATAAGAAATGGCGCGAATCTCCGTTAGTCCGTACCAGGACATCATAACAAAATCAAACTGAAATAAAGATGTTAACTGTAGGTCTATATTGCCAGAAAAAAACAAAATATGCCAAAATCTGCCAGTTTATTATGCCAGTTTAATTTAAAATATACCAAACTTGTGGAATCTGGCATAAAAAATGCCAAGATGGCAACCCTGCTTGGAAGAAACTTTACGAATTCGTGGAATCAATTCACCAGCGTAATTTACCACTGGCAACAATAACCGACATCTTGAACCTGTAATGTCATGTCTTTCAGTTCTTTCAGTATCTCAACCGGAGCTATTAAATGTGCGCAGTCTGTAAATGTATAGTTTAGCCTATGCTTCAGTGGGAATTAAAGGAAAGAAAAAGAAATAAATTGTATATTATGATAATAATCCTTTCTCGGAAGCTGAAATATTGTGGTCATAGACTCATAACAAGCGCGCCCACGACGGATTGGGAAAAATTATAGCAGAAGGCATGGTACCAGGAAGGAGGGGCAGGGGCCGACCAACACGAAGATGGGCACAGGATATAAGTGACTCCTTGAGTGTGAAAGTGCATGAGGCGGGAGAACTGGCGAGAGACCGAGTTTCTTTCAGGCAGACTGTGATGAGAGCGACGTTCTGCAAATGACCTGCTACATGATCACCATGATTATGATAATGACTTTATATTAATAATTATTATTAATCTTAATCATAACTATAACACTAATACTCAGTTATATACAATTAAAGTACAGGCTCCTTTTTCCATGCTTTCAGACGTATTTGGACATTTAGGGCTTGTTTTAATTATAGACCATTCAGTCAGCACTTGGTGGATGATGTAGTCAGCCACACCGACTGCCTCGACTTACCAGTACTTTTACCTTGTACCCAGGTTAGGCTGGATTGACCTGAGAGCTAGCCTCATTTCTGAAGAAAGTCTAGCACCATCCAGATTCAAATCCATGACCTTTTGATTCGCAATGAAGCGTTTAGCCATTCCACCATGTTCAGCCCGTTCCAGCACGGTAGTTCCCAATTATTATTGCTTTATACCAATTTATATTTATTAATAAACCTGGCAGTAAAGACGTAAAAGTATTTTATTTCTTAATTAGTTAAAAACTACATAAATTATAAAGATATAATAAATAGTGTAAAAGATATTATTAAAAATTTATATATATATATATATATATATATATATATATATATATATATAGATATATATATATATATATATATATATATATATATATAATATTTAAAAAAAACTTTTACTTTTATCAGGCCTTCTCCATCTATTTTATTATTCTCTTCTCCATAATTTGTTTGGTCTCCCATTATTCCCTTGTTTGTCCTTGTGTGTTTCAGTGCAAGGACATTCTAGTTATTATCTGTTCTCATGGTGTGTGGGTGATCACAAGTCATCAAAGAACAAAAAATGAAGTGGTTTGGACACCTAACAAGAATGCTCTGGTACTATCTACTACTGCGAGCCACACTAAAATGTTACAATTGGTATAGAGCGAGTGGAAGACCTCGGACAAGATGAAGTGATGGCATAAAGAACAGCCTTCCAGAAATGAACATCAGTCTTAATAGTGCTCTTAATAGACCTCATCAACGAATGTTACATCTCCCCCTGACACTTGGATGAGGTACAAGGTGGAAGAGAAGAAGAAGCAGAAGAAGAAGAATTGTGTGTGGGGCTCATCTCTTCCAATGTTCCTTACAGCTTGGTTCCCATTTGAAGGCGAACTGGCCAAACCTGGCGATCTCTCGACTGCCTGTAGAGATCATGTCTGGCACATCTTAAGTATTCTGTAGTGCCTTTTCACACTGGCAAACATTGGAATCTCTATAGTCTTGAGTTTCCTGTACATATGGCTTCAGAAACTTGTGTTCAGCACAAAGTCTAAATACAATGGTTTGTTTCTTTTATGTGAGGAGGTTGATTGAGTCTTAATCTGTAATTTGGGAACAAGCAATGGAATCACTAGAGAAAGACAATTATTATGATGGCCTGGAGAGAACGAGGCACCTGGGTATAACCAGAGGTCTGGCCGGCTTCTACACTAAGAGAAAAGGCAAAATTGTCATATAACCAGAATGTGACCGGTACTATCAGTATTGGAACTGCGCTGGCTGCTGAAGATGAGGACAGAGCAAGCATGGGAATGCCCCGAGTACTGTGATGTCAATTCTTGACTCAACTCAGCTCAAATCTAATCTATGCTGTACTTTTCTCTTCCAGCTAAACAGTAATGAATAACACCGACAGTCCAGCGTTAGGTAACATGCAGGAAACTGATGCAGCTTCAGAAGGATGTTCTGTTCCAACTCTAGATCAAGCTTCTGTGAATGCTAAAGGTTAGCCAACAAATTTTAGGGTAATTAATTAAGTGAGTGATGGTGAAATCATTCTGTTGTTTGATACATGCTGTTGGCGATCTGAGAATTTGGAGAGGTGTATTTGTCCACACCGGCTGACAAAGCACTTGATGATAATGGTGATGATGATGATCATGTCCGCTGGAAGAAAACCAGCTGTTTGCTTCTGACCTCCCCAAATGGGTTCCGGAGCCCTTTGTTCGAGAAAACAAGAATACCACTGCCTTTTCAGCAAGCATGTCATAGGAGTTGACTAATTGAGGACTTCCTTCAAGGTCGGAGTACATCTGCCCGAGCTACAAGGAAAAACCAGCTGCACACAAATAAGCCTTTAAAATGGATGTAAACGCAAAACTCACAGAGCCAAAGTCCAAATAAACAAGCAACCAGGACTTCCCACCGGAGCTTACAGCTGGTGAATAGAGAAGAGGTGGAAGCTTATGACCACTATACTGTGGTGAGCTAGAGAAAAAGCAGTGCCACTGACCCATATTTCAGAAGCTCCTGAATAGAAATCATCAAAAAAAACTATAACTAATATAACAAGTCACAGAAAAGTCTTTAAAATGTCATTCATTCATTCATTATCATGTTGTGCCATTATCTGTCACATAAGGCTTGCAGTCTGTTCCCCCATTCCGTTCTATCTTGTGCAATCAGTTCAATATCATGAATGGAATTCAGTCCAGCAGCTTTGGCCTCTCTCATCAACTTTCATCTTAGGGTTTCTTGTGGGCGTCCTTGCTTCCTTACTCCCTTTACTTCCTATTTAAATGCCTGTCTAGTGATTCTCTGTTGGTCTCTTCTCGGGATTTGCCAATGTTGCCTCATCTGCTCTATCTTATAACTGTTGATACTAGTGGTTGCCCAGACAATTCTCTTATTTCTTCACTCCTTTGAATTCATCCCATTTTATTTTCATTACCTTTCCCTGAATTTTGTTTTTGAAAGCATTAACTTTTGTTCCATGTCTTTATTTGTTCTCCAACTTTCACTTTTGAAAAGGTTAGTTGCGTATCCTTTACAGGACGTTGCAGAACTAACCCTAACAGCCCCTAGCTGATGTATGGTTTCTCTAGGCAAATTTACGTCTAGTAGTTTGTCATTGCTTTCTGGACGGTCGGCTTTCTTGATACCACTGTTGAAACCAACACAAGGCGCGTGGCCCGCAGCTGGGATCGAACCTGGCATGGAGAGCTCCATGCAATGGCGAAGGATAGAACGACTTGGCGTGAGTTGGTTGAGGGCCTATGCTCCATTGGGGGATAGAAAGGCAGAAGAAGAAGAAGAATCTCTTTCAGCCTTAAACAAATGAACAATTATCTCTTTGTTGGTAGATATTTTGAGGGTATCTTTGTAAACAGTTTGTTTAAAAAAAAATTCAGTTTCAGATCATAGTGTTTCAGCAGATGTAGCAGAAGAGTTTACTTGCTCAGTCTGCTTCCTCCTCCTTGTGCAGCCCACCACCCTAACTTGTGGTCACACACTGTGTCGTGATTGTTTGGCCAGATGGTACTTTACATCTCTTAGGAAAACATGTCCTTTGTGTAACCAGTCATTTCAAGGGCACCCTTTGATTAATACTTCCATCAGGTATGTTTTTCCTCTGTTATTTTGTTTTATTTATTAAGTTTAGCAAATGACTGGGTCGGCGTCTGTGGTTTAGGTGCTGCGAATTAGCTTTGTAATTCTGAAATCCTTGTTTTGATTCCAGACGCAGGTGGTTTGTCATCCAAATGTTTTGCCTTGATTTGGACAGTGTAATGGAGTGGCCAGAATTCAGGAAGCAGAGGCAGACTGCTGAATGTAGAATTGCCTAGTAAAATTACAAACAGCCAGGTATTGCTAGAGTTGGTTCTGCAACATTTCTCTTTGTAGTATCAAAGGACCTGCAGCATGGCAGTGATGAGTCACTGGACTTTGAGTCACTGCGAGAAACGGCCAATTACTGCCTTTTTTATACCACTTTTTGCAGTGTAGGCGGGGGGGGGGGGGGGGGGGGGGGGGGGGGTCTTCAAGTCACTGATCTCTTGAAATTCATCTTCTGCACTTTATCCCTCAAAGGAGAACGGGCCCTAAATCAAATCATGCCAGTTCATCCTATCCTTTTCCCCATGTGGGTTTAGGGGTCCCATTATTGGGGAAAAACAAGAATAGACCCAGTGCCTCTCTAACAGTCATGTCGTAAGAATCAACTAATTAGGGATTTCCTCTGAAGTTGAAGTGTGTCTGCCTGAGAGGCAAAGAACCATCAATCTGCATACAAAGAGGCTAGATCTGTAAAACGAATGTGTACGCAAAATTAAAGTTCTGAAACAAGAGTAAAGTCCAGAAGTGGACAAACAACCACTACTTTCTACCAGGATTTACAGCTGGTGAATGATAAGAAAAAGAAGGAAGGAGACTCCATTATTTGGGTCATGCTTGCAGGTGTTTTTAGAAATCACAGAAAGTTGTCACTGGAAGTACACAGTTTTTAGGAGAGAGACTGAGCTGTGTGGCATAAAATCCAGTGCAATGAAATTTATCCCAGGGAAGGCTAACCTGAGCAACAAATACCTGCAAAAGTTGGATGTGTCTGCCAAAAAAAACACAAATATTGCAGCCATGTTTTAAATGGGTACAGCACATTTACATCTTGGATGAACACCCAAGAAGAAGAAGAAGAAGGAATCGATCCTCTCATTTCAGTGTGTGACCTGGGAGCTTCTGTGGTGTAGTGGCCAGAAGCATTCTTTTTCAAACATGACCGTGGCAGTCAGATTGAACCACCCTTGAATGGATGTCAGGTTAAAGTCCTGGGAAGTAAACATGGCTGGATTGATGCTGACCACATCGCCCATCGTGGGCCGATTGGTCTATCAGAATCAAAGTCGAGTATCATATGCTTGATGCGCCACTGGTGTGTAAAGAGATCGTTACTTACTTTACTAGTACATTTTTAGATGAGAATTTACCAAATTTCAAGCGAGATGTGAGAAAAATATACAGGCATTAGATTAAAGATGTATAGAGAATAACTAGTCAATAGCATAACTATAATTATCTTCATCTGGAATTCATAGAGAAAAATAAGTATATGGGAAAAATAAATAATCGTTGACACGGATTAATAATAGGTCACAGAGAAAAAAATAGAAATGAATACCAAGAAAAGAAGGGTTTAACCTGAGGTAGTAGAGAGCCAAAAGTCCATTGAGAGATAACAAGTAGATGTACACAGGGTATGTAGTTGCCAGCATGATTTTAATCTCTTTGTCCAGAAAATCCTTGGGGATAAAAACCAATTGATCCCGGAATCCCCCCCCCCCCCCCCCCCCCCCCCCAAAAAAAAAACCTTTAAAAAAAACATTTTACTCAAGTCACAAATCAATGAGTTAAGTTTTTTTTCTTCAAAATATACATTAACATTTCAAATGGAGTAGAGACTTTTTGAGTCTTAAAATCTTTTTACAGTTACTGTATACCACGATCCCATTGCTGTATGACCGCTAAAGGGGAATTGTGATGTCATTAAGCATTATAATGCCTAAAAAAAAAGCCATTTTGTCCACAGTAATTCAACTGACTCCCAAATGCTAATTATATTGAATATAATCCTATTGATTTCTCTTAAACACTGCACAAATGCAAACAACACCAGTGCTGTTAACTAGGCTTGTCTCCGGGAGATGGGTCAGTCCAGCACTGCTGGTCTCATGACTTTTCAAGAATGTTAACAGATTGTGATGCAGAAAGAATAACGTCTCGAGGCCAGAGGGTTAATGCACACTTAGCAGTTACTCTCTGCTCTCCTGCCTGTCGCTGCAGTATCCTTTGTCTAATGTCAGTTTATTTTTAAAGTTGACATTTACTTCATATTTTGTAAGTTTTTTATTGTCTTTGAAGGGTTGAATCGTTTTATACTGTTACTGAATAACACGGAAGGTTAGCCTGGGTAACAGATGGCTGCATAATTGGAGGTTTCACTGAAAGAGGCAATAAAACAGCCATGCTGTTAATGGGGACAATTCATTTACATCCTTGGATGAACAAAGCAGAAGAAGAGGAATTTTATTACTGAGACATAATACAAATTGTGGATGGAGACAAAATAAAAAAAAAGGGGCTGGGGGGGGGGGGGGGGTGAAGGAAGGATGAAGAGAAGGTGGATGGGGGATGGAGAGAAAAGAAAGGTAAGAGAGAAGGGGGTGAGCTGTGGAGAAAATGGGAGAGAGGTAGAGGGAAGAAAAAAGAGAGAGTAGCAAAGGGAAGAGACGGGAAGAAGGGTGGGAGAGAGGGACGCATTGGAAGACTGAATAATTGTTTTTCTAAAGCAGTAATGTTTATTGCATTTTTCTATTAGCGATGTCACCCAAACTTATTTATACTTTACCAATGTTTAGAAACATGATCACCAAAATGTTCCCGCTCCAACTGGAGGAGCGAGAGAAAGAACTGGCAAAACATCACAGTAACATCACAAAGTTTGATAAAGAACTGATGCAAGAGACGAATCATAAACCAGACGAGGCTCAAGGTGGTGGAGGTTGTGGGTCTTTTTGTGCGGGTGCTGCACTTGTCATCTGTGCTTTTCTTGTAAGTTGACTATTTATCATCGTCTCCTGCCATGCAGCTAAGGGTAGATGGTCATGTTTCACCATCCCACATAATCACTAGAATCATATATCAGTCTGTTCTCTTATTTTGCCTCATTTATCTGGCCAGGTCATCCAGGAATTGAGCTCATTACCATCCTCTAGCTCTGTTTTCGTCAATTGTGCAAGTCAGTCGCAAGTTCTGGAGTCTATTCCTTCATTAACTGTTAGTTTTTGAAGTCATCTTCATCTGCTTTTTTAATGATATCACGTCGCCAAATTAAAAACAATAAAAAAACTTTTTTTTTTTCAGTCACTTAATCTATTTTTCAGGTAAAGGTTTATTTTTAAGTGAAGGGAAAAAATACAAAGGGTGCAAAGAATTAACTTTGCTTCCCTTTACCCATCTAATAAAGGGTTTAGTCATCTTTTCACAAAGAACAATGTTACTCAATTTCAAAATTAGATGTCACAAAGCTTTCTATTTTTGGGAAGCAGAAAATAGACCTCATGCACCTAAAAACCTTGTCATAAAAGGCAACTAATTAGGAGTTGTTGAAATCAGATGTGTTGTTCTGAAAGTTGCAGAAATTGCAGCCTAGGTGTAAACCACATCACAACATGCCAACCACCTTTTTAAGAGAAAATGCAGAAGAGGGGTATTTTTCCTTGTCCCTATTCCTGGTAATAGTCTTGTAATGGGCTACTGTAGTACCAATAGTGGCAGCTAGAGAGTAAAGTTGAAAAGTTGGGGGGGGGGGGGCCCATGGGGAGAGCGTGCAAATAGTGAATGATAAAACAACTTGGCATGAGTTGATTGAGGGGGCTAGGCTCCATTGGGGGGTCAGAAAGGCATAAGAATGTAGTACAAAACCTGTGATCAGAAACTGATTGGTTGCATTATTTTGGTTGGAAAAAATAGCTTACATTTGCTTAGTTTAGAAAAAATTTTCTTACATATTTTCAGCTGAAAACAGATTGCTTACATTTTTTTGAACATAAACAATCTGCCTACATTTATTTCACTTTAAACAGATTGCTTACATTTCTTTGACCGTAAACAAACTGCCTACATTTGTTTCACTGTAAACAGATTGCTTACATTTTTTCGACCATAAACAAACTGCCTACATTTGTTTCACTGTAAACAGATTGCTTACATTTTTTTGACCATAAACAAACTGCCCACATTTGTAAACAGATTGCTTACATTTCTTTGACCATAAACAAACTGTCTACATTTCTTTCATTGTAAACAGATTGCTTACATTTCTTTGACCATAAACAAACTGCCTACATTTCTTTCACTGTAAACAGATTGCTTACATCGCCTGGTACTGGCAGCACAGTGCAACTAACCTGCTGGTCCTGAAACCTGTACAGTTCTGGAGAAGCCAGGATGTGGTACTGTGGCTGGAAGATATGCCCTGGGCTAGCAGCTATGCAAACATGAGCAGGGAGAACAGCATTGGTCAGTGCTGGTTGTTTGAAGTCATCTCTTATTGTTGCATGTCAGGTTTTTTTTTAAAAGTTAGTTTCATATTTTTTACAGGCACACCAACCCAAGCATTTGTTGGCTTAAAAAAAAAACTTGCGGAGCTACGTTAAGCAATTTAGTGGTTTGTCATTGCCTTCTGAACAAAATCAATGCCAAATGGTCTGCAGCAAAATCGCCTGTGGCAGAGTTAAACTGGATATTTCGGAATTACAAACAGCATTCATAACCCATAAGCATTAGGAATTTTTTGTAGCCACTGTTAAAAGCTCTGTTTGTACCAACTTTATACTGTTGATGCCAGACATGGACAGTTCTAGATAAACCAAAACACAAAATCACAACAGGTGAGAGGTTTATACAAGAAATGTGGCCCGAAAAACAAAAAGAGACAGGGTCACCAATGAAGAACTAAGAATAGTGGTAGGTACAGTGTAATATTTTATAAAAATAAATTTTACTTTATTTTATATTAATAATAATAATTTCATAGAACATCAAATTATCAAATGGTTTGGACACCTGGTCAGAATGGAACAAAATCAGTCTGCACTAGAGCATGCTACTACAGCAGGCCACATGACAAGAGGCCAACCAAGATAGATGTGGATGGAGGGAGTAAAATAGCTGCTACCGAAACCCTGTATGACATTAACACAAGCTGCACAACTAACAGATGACAGAAAACTACTTCTGTCTTGTACACTTTATGGCATAACCAGTAAGACAAACAAAGAAGTTACATCCAGGAGTATGGAATAAAACTGGGCACAATAAAGCCAATCATGAGTTAAGTTGAGCTGAGTTGAGTCAAGAATTGACATCAGAGCACTTGGGGCATTCCCATGTGTGCACTGTCCTCATCTTCAGCAGCCAGCACAGAGTTCCAATACTGATGGTACCGGTCACAATCTGGTTTTATATATCCGTCTTGCCTTTCCTATGAGTGTAGTGAGCTGAAGCCAGTCATCTGAACTTTAACATGTTTTGCTTCAGTTAATCAATGTTTTGAAAAATTTGCTGCTACTCTGTTTGGGGAGTTATAAAAAAAAAATGGATTTATCAGTTTTACAGGTTCAGTTACAAGAGATGAACAAATGACATTCTGGCAATTAGCCTTCTTCTGCAAAACAACAAAAACAAGAAAAAATTACCTCTCAAAAAACTACATTTCAGTATTCAAATATTATGTTAGCAAACAAATGACAACTGCTATGAGTTTTATAAAGGAAAAAATGAAAAACCTAGAGCTCTTATAGGCACCTTTGGAGACGTTTAGTTAAGTCTTCTTTTTTCTATAGTGCGATCTTCTTACAGATTTGAGTTGAGTCAAAAACTGACATTACAGCACTCAGGGCATTCCCTACATGCTCCGTCTTCATCTTCAGCAGCAAGGAAAGAGTTCAAATTCTGATAGTACCAGTATTAGTCTGATTTTCGACAACGCCTGAAACCAGTGATATATTTCATTAAAGAGCAACAGGTGAGAGGATTTGGCCATCTGATGAGAATACCCTTCTACCAGCTGTCACAGATAGCCACTCTGAAGAAGTACAGTGAAACAGAGCAAGAGAAGTCTGATGAGAATACCCTGCTACCAGCTGTCACAGATAGCCATGCTGAAGAAGTACAGTGAAACAGAGCAAGGGAAGTCTGACAAGAGTACCCTGCTACCAGCTGTCACAGATAGCCATGCTAAAGAAGTACAGTGAAACAGAGCAAGAAAAGTGTGACGAGAATACCCTGCTACCAGCTGTCACAGATAGTCACGCTAAAGAAGTACAGTGAAACAGAGCAAGAGAGGTCTGATGAGAATACCCTGCTACTAGCTGTCACAGATAGTCACGCCAAAGAAGTACAGTGAAACAGAGCAAGGGAAGTCTGACGAGAATACCCTGCTACCAGCTGTAACAGATAGCCACGCTAAAGAAGTACAGAAACAGAGCAAGAGAGGTCTGATGAGAATACCCTGCTACCAGCTGTCACAGATAGCCATGCTAAAGAAGTACAGTGAAACAGAGCAAGAGAGATCTGATGAGAATACCCTGCTACCAGCTGTCACAGATAGCCACGCTAAAGAAGTACAGTGAAACAGAGCAAGAGAAGTCTGATGAGAATACCCTGCTACCAGCTGTCACAGATAGTCATGCCAAAGAAGTACAGTGAAACAGAGCAAGAGAGGTCTGATGAGTATACCCTGCTACCAGCTGTCACAGATACCCACGCTAAAGAAGTACAGTGTTACAGAGCAAGAGAGGTCTGATGAGAATACCCTGCTACCAGCTGTCACAGATAGTCATGCCAAAGAAGTACAGTGAAACAGAGCAAGAGAGGTCTGATGAGAATACCCTGCTGCCAGCTGTCACAGATAGCCACGCTAAAGAAGTACAGTGAAACAGAGCAAGAGAAGTCTGATGAGAATACCCTGCTACCAGCTGTCACAGATAGTCATGCCAAAGAAGTACAGTGAAACAGAGCAAGAGAGGTCTGATGAGAATACCCTGCTACCAGCTGTCACAAATAGTCACGCCAAAGAAGTACAGTGAAACAGAGCAAGGGAAGTCTGATGAGAATACCCTGCTACCAGCTGTCACCCTGAAGAAGTACAGTGAATTATCAGCTTAAAAAACATATTAGAAAGAGGACTCAGACCATCTTCTCCCAACGCCTTGATGAGGTAGCTGGAGAAAGAAAAAAAATATTTATATAATTCATGATTCCTATATTCTTGCTTTAGTTAATTCAAAACAAGATTTTCTTCAAGAAATTAGAATATCTAAAGTTATGTTGAAATAACACAGAACAAGTTCATAGGATTTTCTTTTTATATCTTAGCTAAGTCGTTATAGACTTCAGAAGATGATGATAATTTGTTTGTCATCCAGATGGCAATATGCTGCTGTCGATGGATGGAGAGTCATTAACCCAGCTTCTCAATGTGACAGACGCAACACACAGGAGAGCGCTTCTCTTTGCAATAAACAGGCTCAAGCACGAAGGGGTCAAAGTGCCGTCTTCTCTGTGGGAATATAAGGTAGTACAAGTTTCTGTATCTTTACATTGCATTATGCTGCAGAGCTGATAGACTGCTAGTGATATAAATAAAATACTTCATCATCATCATCATCAGGTGCTTTGCCGACTGGCGTTGGCGGCGATCATGCCTCTCTACAATCTGGGATCTCCTGCAGCATGTATAAGTTCGTGTGCTGACACACCTCCATGCCATGCAACAAGACCGTCAAGAATCTTCTCCTGTTGTCTTACTCTATCCCTCCTTCCACAGATTTTTCCAGTGGTCAGATGTTCAATTTTCCCTCTTTTTATAACATGGCCGAAAAATGATGACTGTCTCCTTCTGATGTCTGTGATAAGTTGTGAATAAAATACTAATGCATTTTTTTTATAGATTACAAGAAGACTTTCGACATGAAAAGCTTATTGCATGCCTCCAAAATATAGGATTAGATGGAAAGAATATCAGAATTATTAGTTACCTGTACTGTGAACAGATAGCAACAGTTTGACACAACAACGACTGGCCCCAGAGATAAAAAGTGCTGTACATCAGGGATGTGTGTTATCTCCAAGCCTTTTCAACCTACACAGAAAACTACTTTAAACAAGTTGTAGAATATTCTAGACTAAATATTACTGGTATAATAATAAACAATCTGAGATCTGCTGATGACACAGTGTTCTTTGCAGAAAGTGAGCAGGAGTTACAGGACCTAGTGGATAAAGTCAGCAGGCAGAATGCAGAGTATGGTTTAGACATTAACAATAAAAAAAACAAAAACTTTGAAAATCAACGATAGAAGAGAGCGACCCACTGGGAATATCACAGAGAAGGTGAACAAGTAACAAGTTTCTCCTATCTTGGGCATTTAACAACAGATGATAGCAGAAGCGAAACAGAAATCAAAAAGAAAATAGCAATGGCTAAAACTGTCTTCAGTAAGATGCAAACATTATTGACCACTAGAGATCTAAATAACACATTAAAAATGAGAATTATTACATGTTATGTAAACTGTTTGGTGCAGAAACTTGGACAATGAAGGGTCAACTATAAAGTCAAATTAAGTCTCTGGAAATGGGGATGTACAGAAGAGTAGGTCGTATTTCATGAAAACAAAAACAGTCAAATACAGTTGTTCTGGAGAGACTGTGAATGAAAAGAGAGTTACGGACATAAATAAAAGAGACAGTTGGAATATTTTGGCCACATTAAAAGACATACTTTTTTTTAAAAACTATACTGGAAGAAAAGGTCAAGCACAAGAGGTAGACATTACTGTAAATGGGAGGAGCGCAAGATGTAGACATCACTGTCAGTGGGAGGAGAACAAGAAGTAGACATCACTGTCAGTGGGAGGAGAACAAGAAGTAGACATCACTGTCATTGGGAGGAGCGCAAGAGGTAGACATCACTGTCAGTGGGAGGAGAACAAGATGTAGACATCACTGTCAGTGGGAGGAGAACAAGAAGTAGACATCACTGTCAGTTGGAGGAGAACAAGAAGTAGACATCACTGTCAGTGGGAGGAGCGCAAGAGGTGGACATCACTGTCAGTGGGAGGAGAACAAGAAGTAGACATCACTGTCAGTGGGAGGAGCGCAAGAGGTGGACATCACTGTCAGTGGGAGGAGAACAAGAAGTAGACATCACTGTCAGTGGGAGGAGCGCAAGAGGTAGACATCACTGTCAGTGGGAGGAGAACAAGAAGTAGACATCACTGTCAGTGGGAGGAGAACAAGAAGTAGACATCACTGTAAGTGCTAGGAGCGCAAGAGGTAGACATCACTGTAAGTCGAAGAACAAATCAAGAGATTGATGAACAGCAGTTTTAGAGGGTGTATGACCAATACAAGAGAGTGTTGAAAATCCATTGCAGCCAGCCTTAATTGTGGAGAAGGCATCTGATTGATTGAATAGATCTCCCTGTGTGGGTTCTGGGGCCCTATTAAAGGGAAAACAAGAATAGACCCACTGCCTACCCTAAAGCATGTCATAAGAGTCGACTAATTGGGAGCTTCCTTTATAGGGAGTGCATCTGACTGAGAGGCAAGGAACCAACAGTCTGCATACAGATAAGTCAGATCTGTAAAACAGATGCTCACGTAACACTCAGGTTCTGGAACAGGACTGCAGTCCAGAAGTGGATGAACATCCAGAACTTACCGCCAGAGTTTACAGCTGGTGAACGCAAAGAAGAAGAAGAAGAAGATTGAATAGATTGCTGTGTTTGGTGCAGATAGAGAGAATAGCAGGTAACAGAGAGACAAGAACTGTACGCACTAGAGCTTAATGGGAGTAGACCACAGAGATAATGGAGACAGATGATATCTGGGGCAATGAACCTCAAGAGCTCACAAATGCTGAAAAAGAAAAAAAAAGTTGAGTAGTTACTGGGATTTACCCATCGTCATGTAGCAGGTCCTTTGCAGAACGTCACTCTCATCACTGTTTGCCTGAAAGAAACTTGGTCTTTCGCCAGCTCTCCCGCCTCGTGTACTTTTATATTCAAGGAGTCACTTATATCCTGTACCCATCTTTGTGTTGGTAGTCTCTACTCCTCCTTCCTGGTACCATGCCTTCTGCTGTTATATTTTCCAGTCTGCCATAGCGCTTGATAGGACCAAAATATTTCAGCTTCCAAGATACGATGCTGTTTAATTGACAATCTTCCTTATTTGCAGATCTTTCGGAATGTCAGCATTTCTTCCCTTCTTTGTTTATAGTATTTTGAGAATCTTTCTATAGCATTCCAGCACAAAAGCCCCTATTCTCTTTCTTAAGGACGGGAAGATAGTCCATAACTCATATCCGTATGTTGCTACAGGGAAGATGTCTGCTCTCAAAATTTTATTTCCTTGCTGGTGCTATAGACTTTTAATGCAGTTTAAGTAACTGGGGCTGTGGTGGCATAATGATAAATGTACTTGCTTACCTTGACAGTGGTTTGGGTTCTTTCAGTCACTGAGAAATTTCTTTCCACCTGGTGTCATCTGAAGAAAAGGGTGCAGTGGAAAGTGAGGTTAAACCATGACTAATAATGACGGAATGGGTTCAAGTCTGCCGTTTAAAAACATTTTTATGTGAACTTTGAAAAACATTGTTATTTTTTTACATAATTGTATGTTGAAATATCATTTAATTAAGTATGTAACCACCATTTTTATAATGCTTAAGTAGAAACACTAACTGTTCACACCAGAGAATTAAACGGAACATACATTATTTGTATTACTGTAATGTGTATTCATCATCAAAAACAGTAAGAGCTTGTTGGTGAATGTCATTATGGTATTTTGAATCAGCATGTCAAAAATAATCAGAAAATGATATATTCAAATTCTGAAACAAACACTTGAAAATTTGGTGACTAGTGTTATCCTCATTGGACATTGAACAGTTCAGTCCATAAGTGCTCAGATCCCCTCCTCAGCCTTTAGTGGCTGAAAACACCTGCTTTGGCTTCCTGCATAGTCCTCTTGTCTGGCCTCACTCCTTAAACTTGCTGTTCTTGCAGTCAGGTCTTGGTCGCAAATTCACAGTCATCACTTGGTTCTCGCAAGCATCCTACTTCTCAGAAAGCATTCAGTATATCGTCCTGGTCCATGGCTCGTCTGCCTTTCATAGTAGCCTCACCTGCAAGCCTATCAGCATGCTCATTTCCTTGCAAGCCTGCATGCCTTGGCACAAAAATGTTAACTGATCTTTTTCAGCCCTGACCGCCTCAGAGACAGCAGCCACAGTTTTTAAGACCACACAAATAATGCTGTCGCCACAGACTAAAGGTTGAAAATTTGATTTTTGCCACGGACACAAAAAAAAAAGAATCCCCAACCTTACCCAGGACTCAAAATGAGATCCTGTGTTATCTGTTTGGCTAGCCACTTCTCTAGAGTTACATAATTGTTAGAAATGTTTCAACTGAGCTGGTAGTCACTGGAAAATGAATCCATATACTTGTGGTTACAGGCACTTTATCCGGCGCAGTGCCAGTTTCTGGTTCATGGGATGAAGGGTTTTCCTCGGACTGCTCTTTTCTACATGTGGATGTATTACTATGATGAATTGTTTTTGCCTTTCGCTATGGCGACTATACCTTCAGTGAGTCATGAGGGAAACGTCTCCATTCCACTTATACCAGTAAGTATATTATAGTAAAATATGAAATTTATTTTCAAGTAAATATGTGAACTTTAATGAAAGTATGTCTGTATAGATAAAAGAAAGATGTTTTAATAGAAAGATGTTTTAATAGAAAGATGTTCTTATGGTTAATCAAAAAGTGTTCACATAATGAATAGTTATGAGTATAATTGTTAGTAAAAAATCAAAGGGTCTAGTCTGAATAGAGAAAAAGCAGAAGTAATAGTATTTAAAAAAAAAATTCTTCATAGTGCAACATCAAAGTATGTTGTTGTTGTTATCGATCCAGCGGCGCATGAGCTTTCGTCCTTTGGCCCAATGCCATGTAGTGGAATTTGCATGTTTTCACAAGCTGTTCTTTTCCTCCGTACAAGGTGTTCCACTTGTCTGGTCTCGGAGGGAGTAGCGTTCTTCTCGTCTCACTGAGTTTTGGGCACTCAAAGAGATGGTGTTCAACAGTTTCGTAGGGGTAGTTACATAGCTGGCACTCTGGGGAGTGTTGTGGCTGTATTCTGTTTAGGTGTCCATTGAGTGGAGTATGTTGCGTTCTAAGTCTGAAGATGGTGGCCTGGTCCCTTCTTGTTAGATGGTTAATCTGTCATTAGGATCAGGGCCAGACATATGTCTATCCACCTCTCTTCCAGTGTCTCCCATGGCCCATCTGTTCAACCAAGTCTCTTTGTTTATAGCTCTTATCAGTGTTTTTGCTGTCTGGAGGGTTGTCGCTGTAGGTGGTTGTTCTTGTGTTGCTCCTTTCTTTGCCAATCTGTCAGCTCTGTCATTACCTGGTGTGCCGGAGTGACCTGGAATCCACTGCATCACTATTCTGATGTTGTATGAGGTAATAAGCTGATCAGCATCCAGGATTATCTTGGCTATGTCAGTTCTGCAGCATTCACTGCCCTCCAGAGCTTGAAGGGCAGACATTGAATCTGTGAAGATGACAATATTTTGGACCTTTGAAGGGTAAACATCCATTACAGTCTTTAGGTGGTATACTGCTGTTTCCAGTGCAATTATTTCAGCTTCATAGTTTGAACAGAATTCCCCGCATGCATCAAAAATCTCTTCAACAGATCCATCGGGATAACCTATGTAAATTCCGTAACCTGCTTTAATGGTAGCTTTAAATGCTGATCCATCAGTAAAGACATGTATCCATTCTTGGGGGTAAGAGTCAATGAATAAGGGCGATTAGGTAGGACTGTTTGGTTTCTTCATTTACAAATTTCGTTCGGACTTCTAGAGCTTTAAAGCGAGCATGTGTTGGTAGGTTTCTTGCAACATTCTGAATGCCTTGATGTCTTTCTGGGAGGTGGTATCTGTCCTGTGTTTTATGTACAGTGTAAAACCAATTTGTTCTTTATTCTTTGTTTGTATTCCAAGTTTTCTACAAGGTGTCTATTAGGATGGTTGCGATTCATTCTAACACATCTTTCATACATTTCTAAAGTGGCTTTTTCTTAGATAGTTTAGAATCATGACAAACATAAACATCTGTTTAAAAAAATTAATGATAATACACAGGATAGAAGGCTGTTGACTGACATAAAGGCCAACACTACACTAGCAGAAACTAATAGAAGTGGTTGATAATTAAGTTTGAAAATAATTGAACAAGTGTGGGTTCTGTGGCCTCACTTCGATAAAGACAAAAAAGAATAAACACTGCTTTCAACAAGCCACTAATTAAGAGTTAGCTGACATCGGTGGTGTTGGGTTGAAAGGTGCAGATGTCGCAGCCTACTTGTAATTCACAAAACATGTGAACCACCCATTTAAGGGTGAATGCAGTGAAGGTCAACATAAATTTAAACTAATCATCATTATCAGGTGCCTCTCCCACTGGCGTAAGTGATCATGCCTCTCCACAATCTGCGATCTCCTGCAGCATGTATCAGTTCGTGTGCCGACACACCTCCATGCCATGCAACAAGACTGTCAAGCATCTTCTCTCGTTGTCTTCCTCTATCTTTCCTTCCACTGATCTTCCCAGTGGTCACAATATGTTCTATTTTCCCTCTTCTCATAACATGGCCGAAAAATGATGACTGTCTCCTTCTGATGTCTGTGATAAGTTGTCTTCGGGCTCCCGCCTCTTTCAAAACCTCTTGGTTGTTCTTTTTGGCTGTCTGAGGTATTCGAAGCATTCTTCTGTAAAACCACATTTCTGAGGCCTCAAGAAATTGTCCAGGATTCACAGCCATATGTTACAGCTGGATGTATGTAGCAAGCAAAAATTCTTTTTCTAACTCTCAACGACAAGGATATATTGCACAAGATGTTCTTCATTTTATAACTAATACTATTAAAACTAATACTAAACTAAAAATATCTAATTCTAATGTTGAATCAGTACTGTTGTATGGAGTGGAAACATTAAGAACAACTAAGGCAATTACTATTAAACTACATTCATTTATTAACTGGTGCCTGCACAGAATATAGGGAATCAAATTGTATGATAGAATCACTAATGTAGATCTTTGGGAGAGAACTATACAAGTTCCAGTGGACCAATAGGCGAAGATAAGACACTGGTGTTGGATTGGACACACGTTAAGAAAACCTGAGAACAATATAACTAAAATGTCTTTGCACTGGAATCCACAGGGGCATGGAAATAAAGGAAGACTAAAAAAACACATGCAGAAGGGAGCTAGAAAGTGAAGCTAAAAAGAGGGGAGGACATTTTGAAAACTGCTTGTGATAGCGAAGGATAGATTGACTTGGCATGAGTTGGTTGAGGGCCTATGCTCCATCGGGGGTTAGAAAGTCAGAAGAAGACAGAAAAAGAAGAAGAAAACATATCCTATTGTAAATCTATCTGTATTTGATTGTTGTCAGGAACAGGGCCTCAGCATGTCACAGTGGACAAGCTTTATATTCTATGCAGTGGTATTGCCACATTGGCTTGTGGTGTTACTGGCCTATCAGATGTTCTCTCACTATTTCATCACCCCGATCATCGTCATTGGTACCGCAGCCATGTACCAGGTATGGGAGATCGTCGAGTGGATCATACTATACAAGCAGCATCAATTGGGGCATGTATTTTTTCAAATTTGTTAACCGTTTTTTTTTTTTCATCATAATAATGTTTCACCAAAACTAAGACAGCCTCATTAATTTTTGCTTCAGAAATCCCTAGGAATAATTTTCAGGAATGATTTTTTTCCCAGATACAAAAATCTACATTTAATCATGTACAAAATTCTACATTTTTTTCATGTACAAAATTCTACATGCATTCAAAAACAGTCATGTCATCTTAATCACTAACATCGTCATACCTCTCTGAATCCCAAATTCTGGCCTGAAATTCTTAAGACTCCATTTCCTGTAGAACCATCTGCCCCAGTCTTTCATCTGTTATGATTTCAACTCAGGATGTTTTGTGGTGTAGAGCTTATATTAGCAGCATGACAGGGCCTTGGGGGGGGGGGGGGGGGGGGGGGGGGGAATAGTTTTCTTAAGGAAAAACTATCAGCAGACAGCTTGGTTATTTCTACACCATTTGGTGGTGTATTGAGGCATGACAAGCTAGAAATTCTCTGTACACATTCTGCGATTGAAACGAGAATTACTGAAAAAAAATAAACAGGAGAAAAGTGAACTATTTTGGCAACATTAAAATACATAACACTTTTTTTTTTTTTTTATATAAACCATAACGGAGGGAATGGTGGTCAAGGGCAAGAGTTAGACAATGGTACGAGAGGGAAAGCAACTTTAAGAAGAGAACAAACATCAGTCTGAGGAAGTGTACTGCCAAGACAAGAGACAAAATGTGTTGGAGATCCATTGCAGCCCATCTTCACTGTGGAGATGGCATTGACTGATGATGATGAGTTATACACCCAATAACACACCAGTTCCTCTACCAGGGTTGTGTATTTAGCCCCTGTGGATGTAGTATACCCATGCTTGTATGGTTGTCAATAGTACCTTGTTTCAAATTCCGCTATTACCTTTTGGGAATAAAAAAGTTAATGTTTGTTTGCATTGTTCTTGTCACTATCATATTGTTGTTGTCACTATCATGTTGTTTCTTCTCATTGTCTGAACTGTTGTTGTCACTATCATGTTGTTTCCTCTCATTGTCTGCATAGTTGTCTTGTTTCTTCACATTGTCTGCATTGTCGTTGTCGGTCGTGTTGTTTCCTGTCATTGTCTGTATTGTTGTTGTCACTACCATGTTGTTTCTTCACATTGTCTGCATTGTCATTGTCAATCGTTTTGTTTCCTGTCATTGTGTTTTTGTTGTCATTATCGTGTTTTTTACTCTTATTGCTTGTATTTTAGCTGTCATTATCATGTTGTTTGCTCTCATTGTTTGTGTTGTCGTTACCATTATTGTGTTGTTTCCTCTTATTGTCTGTTTCGGTGTCGCTGTCACTATCGTGTTGTTTCCTCTCATTGTCTGTATTGTCGTTGGCACTATCATATTGTTTGCTCTCATTGTTGGTATTGTTGTTGTCACTATCATGTTGTTTCCTGTCATTGTCTGTGTTGTTGTTATCATTGTTGCGTTGTTTCCTCTTATTGTCCGTATTGTTGTTGTCACTAACATGTTATTTCCTCCTATTTTCTGTATTGTTGTTGTCACTATCGTGTTTCCTCTCATTGTCTGTATTGTTGTTGTCACTATCACGTTGTTTCCTATCATTGTCTGTATTGTTGTTGTCACTGTCATGTTGTTTCCTCTGATTGTCTGTATTGTTGTTGTCACTATCGTGTTGTTTCCTCTCATTGTCTGTGTTGTTGTTATCATTGTTGCGTTGTTTCCTCTTATTGTCTGTATTGTTGTTGTCACTATCGTGTTGTTTCCTCTCATTGTCTGTATTGTTGTTGTCACTATCGTGTTGTTTCCTCTCATTGTCTGTATTGTTGTTGTCACTGTCATGTTGTTTCCTCTCATTGTCTGTATTGTTGTTGTCACTATCGTGTTGTTTCCTTTCATTGTCTGTATCGTTGTTGTTGTTGTCGCTATCATGTTGTTTCCTCTCATCTGTTTTGTAGTTGTCACTATCATTATCATTGTTGTCGTTATCATTATTGTGTTGTTTCCTCTTATTGTCTGTTTCGGTGTCGCTGTCACTATCGTGTTGTTTCCTCTCATTGTCTGTATTGTCGTTGGCACTATCATATTGTTTGCTCTCATTGTTGGTATTGTTGTTGTCACTATCATGTTGTTTCCTGTCATTGTCTGTGTTGTTGTTGTCATTATCGGGTTGTTTCCTCTCATTGTCTGTATTATTGTTGTTGTCACTGTCATATAGTGTCCTCTCACTGTCTGTATTGTTGTAATTATCATGTATCCTTTCATTGTCTGTTTACTTGTTGTCAACTATATTTTAATGCTGAACACCTGCCATATTTGCTTTTTTTGTGTGCTTTCAGATGTTTATCCACCTACTTGAAGCTCTACGTCAAACAAATGATGCAATTGGTCATTTTTATGGTGATCTGGCCAGTTATTCCATGGTTTATTTGCGATGCAATATTCTACATTTCCTTGTATTTGTGGCCATTCTACGCGTTTCAGTTTGCTCTTTACCATCTAAAAGTGCTGATCAATTTATAAATAAGAAAGATCTCAGCTGCAGCAGAATGTGATAATAAAAGCAGAATGTGATGGCTGCAGCAGAATGTGATGGCTGCAGCAGAATGTGATGGCTGCAGCAAATTGTGATGGTGAAAGCAAATGAATAATAGAGATGTTATGTACAATTAATTTCCTGCTGAGAAATAATAATCACAAGCTCAATAACCATACCTCCTAATGATGTAAGACCATGTGAATAGAAACAAAGCAACACTAGTCCCACTTGTAAATATATATAAAACATACTTTTAAAATATGCAATTTAAAAAAATCTAAGGAATTGAAGAAATCAGAAATTAAAAAAATTTATTTTGCATTTGCCCTTAAAAAGAAGATTGACATGTTGTGTTGTGGTTTCATCTAGGTCTTGCTCCCAGCACCTTCTGATCCCACACGTCTAATTTCAGCAAACCTGTAAAGCTTTTATTGACTTTCTTGTTAGAGAGCAGTTCTTGTTAGGGGGCAGTTCTTGTTAGTGGGCAGTGGGTCTATTCTAACTGCCCCCCTAGAATGAGGCAGAGAAACTCATAGATTTTGTTTGTTTTTAGTATCCAGAAGCCATGAGTTGTTAACCCTTAGGCTCGGTATTATGGATATCGCAACCTTTCGGCCTTGATTCCATTGTAAATACCGTAAATCTGGGGGAAAATGTGGCTTTCCTGCCTACCCCCGGGATTGAACCCGGACCACAAGGAGTTTGTCACCCGCTCTCCGCACAATCCGGTTCAGCCAACTACGCTAGAGAGCCGGGCAAACCCATAGATAATGATGGTAAAACGAAAGGTAAAGGGCTGCTAAGGTTCATACTTGGACTATCACTCCCAGTGAGCGAATAAGCACTATACAGAGAGAGACTGAGCCTTGTAGGTTGACCTACCATGTTTCTTTGAAAATAAGACAACCTGAAAATAAGCCCTAGTTTAGTTTTTCTGGGTGCTTGTAATATAAGCCTTGCCCCTACATGTTCTTTCATCTGTAGAAAACCTGACTGATGTATTGAATTATAAAGTAATGGATGTATCTCTTATAGTTACTTAAATAAATGTAGACTTTTATACTTGAATACATGTTTATTTTTGTACTTGAATACATGTAGCTTTATGTATGTGAAAAAGAAAATAGGACATCCCCTGAAAATAAGCACCTTTTGGAGCAAATTTTAATATAAGACCTGTTCTTTTTATTGAAACATGGTAGTATAGTGAAGTCAGTCTTCACACCTTTACATGATTTTTAATAAAGCCCAAACAGATTTTTGTTATTTTAATGCCAAGGAGATTTCCAAAGCATGTCATGGAAAGATAAAACATGTAATGATGTCTTCAAAGAAATGAAATTTGAAAAAAAATTCTTAGCTGCAGCAGATTATGGCAAAATTAAATGAATTTAAAAAAGTGCTATTCCAATTCCAGCTGTCCAACAAAAATTCCAAATTTGATCCTTTTTCAGCTGCCCAGAGGCCTGCTATATGAAGGAAGGTTCCTTGGCTATCTTATTTGGTTTCCTTTTATTTGTGGTGTGTAGTCACAGCTGATATTCCGGTTCTTTGCTTCCTGAGTCTGGTGTGTTACTTGGGGTTTTGGGTCTGGTCTGGTCCAGTTCTCTTAGTGCTGATATCTGTGGGTTTAAGCTGATTGTTGCTGTTTACCTCGTGCTGGCCGCTACACTGGTGCCCTATTCCCTAAAAAGTGCTATGTTGAGTTGCTGCTGAGAAATAACAAATAACTCAATAATGGTACTTGAGCCAAGACTGGGTGATCAGCCAGAAAGTAATACAAATCATACTCCTAAATTAATGGAAAATATTTTTAGAATATGGAATGAATAGAAGCCATCATCAGTTTCCACTTCTGCTACTAAGTGGCATGGGGAGGGACAGTTTGCAATCCATTGTTTGATGTTCAGCACTGGCTGTTGTCATTCCGTGTCAATATAGAAGATGTTTAATGTAATCAATCCATTTCTTGGAGGTGCTCATGGGGTATCATAAACTCTTGATAAAAGCATGCAGTTCAATGCTTTATCAATGGCTAAACTTGTGTTTTTTGTTTTTGTTTTTGTCATGCACAGACACATTTTAAATGCCTTTTTGTGAAATGTTTATGTATATGTATGTATATATATATATATATGGTTTTTTAACGAAGAGTCAGGCAGGTGTGGTGAATCAACAAACTATTCTCTTACTTATTTCTGCCTCAGACCTACTCTTGTCTGTTATTAAGAAAACCAGTTGACGTGTTCAGGTAACTTTCCATCACCATAATTTTCAAAATAAGATTCCTACTACCTTTTGTTGATATTCATAGTTTGTTTATGTTTGTCTGTAGGTCATTTTCATTGTTTAGTTTTTAATACTTGATTTACTCATTATTGGAGATCTTGCTGTATCTCAGCCATTATAACATGTACCGTCTGTATATCTTAAGTTCGAAAAATTTGTTTTCCACCAAAATTGAGTCATCGTCTTTTCTCTGTTTGTCTACATTCTATCTTTAATTATTGAAAGGCAACCGGATAAACCATACTGCATTCGCACACCTCATTTTGCAGATTTGTGGTGATACTTTCTGTATTCTGCTGTTGTCTCCTCTCCTCCAATATGTGTGTTATAAACTTTGTATGTACTTGATACTCATTGTGATGAACAGACAAAAAACATGCTGTACAAACAAAAGCATGTGCCAAGTTAACTATAAAGCAGACTTTTATTGGATTATGTGTCTCATTTCTATATTTAAATATAGGAATAGCTATTGACAATGGTTTACATACTTTTGCTTGAATAAAATTATTGATTTACAGATTTTAATCATGTGTATACCCTGATTTAAGTCTTGCATTCCTTGTAAATATAGAATTCTTTAATTCTTAGAAGATATGTAATGACAGTGTTACCCCCCGCTAACCTGTGACCTGGCTAACGCGTTTTTCGGCTAACAAATATATTTTGGTGCTGTCTTTCAGCCTTGACTAACGAGTGAGGATTTGTCTAACGAATGTTTAAGTACATGCTCTTGCTAACCTGAACGGCCACATTGTAAGCTGAATTTTCTGCAGAAATTTATGGGGAATAACGTTTCATCAAACGGAGGTGATTCTGGTACAAACTGTCTTTTTTCAGCATTCATCCCATTATTCACTTCCATAGTGGGTTCCAACCTGCATTAAGTTGTATTTAGCAGTTATCTGCTAAATATAATTTCGATCTCATTTCACTTCAACCTACATATGTTCTGGTGCTATTTCCAAAGTTTCAGTAATTTAGGAATGTTTCAGGTTATGTTAAACCAAGTAAGCTTCAAATAATTAAAGGACCCCGCACCCCCCCCCCCCCACCTCCATGTATAACAATTGCCTTACTTTACCTACTCTGTGTATACCTATTACAAACATCAGAAAAAGGCAATCATCTCTTTGTTTATTTGTGTTAAAAGAAGAAGGAGATTGGAATAGTTTGTGACTAGTGGAAATATCTGTGGGAAGAGAGAATCAGGAAGGTAAAGCAAAGAAGATTGTTGACAGACTTTTCTCAGGGCATGGAGGGTGTCTGCACACATGCTTTTGAAGATCACAGATTATGGAGAGGCATGGTCGCAAATGCCGGTGAGCAAGACAGTTGATGATGACTGTGTGTATCTTGGTTGTGAGGTGATTATCACAGTAGCCAGCCTTGAGTGGGTACCAGGTGCAGTCCTAGGAAGTAAAGGCGGCTGGCGTGATGCTGACCACATCCCCCACTAAGTGCCGATTAGTTTACACAAATAAAGGCCTCTCCCTATATTTCATATATTCCTAGTACACCTGAATGTGTGGAAAAGGGGCCTTGTTATGCACATTTGTATGTAAAGAATTGTTTTTCCCTTTAGAGTTAGTACTGACTCATAAAGCTTTCGTTTGAAAAAAAATGGCAGAAACATTTGCTTAGTATCATCGCTGATTTATTTAACAACACTGATAATTAAGTCTGTCTACTGTTATTTTTTAAGTTTTGAGAAGGGGTTTAACTCTTTTGAGTCCCAAGGAACGCATCATACGTTCATAGGTTCCTACCTAGAAGCCCAATGAACTCATGATGCGTCGATTTTATTACTTTCTTTACTACCCCATGGGCCTGTGATGCTAAACCCCCTGGGACTCAAAGAGTTAATGCTAGCTTCCTGAAGATCTTGTTTTTAAAATGTGTGACAAGAGAAAAGGGTGGAGAGTGATAGAGAGGTGATTAAAAAAAAAAGAAAAGAAGGGAGAAGGATAAAGATAGAAAAGGGAAAAATACAGAGGTGCACGAGAAGCACACAGAGATAGATGTGATACAAGAGAGAGGAAAGGAGAGAGATAGAGGTTTGAGAGAGAGAGAGAGAGAGAGAGAGAGAACAATTTGAGAGACTTGAGAGAAACATATGGAGGAGAGAAACACACACACACACACATATATATATATATATATATATATATATATATATATATATATATATATATGTATCATTATTTTGTTGTGCCATATATTCGTCACATAAGGCTTGCAATGTATTCCTCCATTCTATCTCGTGACATCTTCTTTTTTCTTCTGTTCCCCTCTTGAATTCTTCTCAGGCATTTGTTTTCAAATGCATTGAACTTTTGCTACTCCCCATATATGACCTTTGGTTTTGGTAAATAAAAGCAGAATTCTTGAACAATCAAATCAGTTGAAATGCACGATTTATCATCTGGTTCGTGTTTGTTAAATACAGCATTACCATATACAACACTGTAACGGTAGATGTCTTGTTTGTGTATGTGTGCGCGATTTTGTGTGTGTGTGTAAAAAAAAGAGGGGGGGGGGGTGTCAATCAAACAACGTTTTTGTGCCACCAGATAAATTGAAATGACTGATTACCTACTGCTGATTCAGGAATCGACACCAAAGAAAATCAAGCCTAATTTATGGACGCTCTGTCTCCTGCAGGAGATGTCTGAAGATGCAGACGTTTTATGTT